AAAAAAAAAAAGTACACATTTCTCACAAGCAAAACTTTTTATTATAATGTATTCATGTAAATAAATTAACATTTAAATAAGGTTTCATAACAATAGGAAATTAAAGTATATTTATAACTAATATGTTTAGTTATTTAAATATTTTGTTCTATGAAAGCAGTCATTTTATTTATTTTTCTAGAAATGTGCATACACAAAACAAAATATTTAAACTTAAAAAAGCCTTTTAAAAATTAGAAAAGACAATCTCGAACAAGCTTTAAAAAAAGGAGGGGGGAAAGAGAGTCTAGTTATGCAGAGGGTCATTATGTCCCAGGAACTTTGTGTATGAGCGTTTTGCACTTTAATCAAATTTCTGATAAGACACCCAAACACAGGAATAACAGTATCATTATTTAGTCATTTCCTTTTTCTTATTTACTAAGCTTCAATCTCTAAATCAACATGGTATTATTATTTGAAAACAAATACATGCAAAAATCAACAGGAGACAAGTAATTATAATCAGGATTAGAAAAATAAAGCTGGAAATACAGTGATTCTAGCTTTACCATAAATAGAGAAAATATTATCAAAACCTTCAGCTGCTGAAAGAATTATGGATAATATAAATCAGTTGCACACATCCTCACATCTCCCCTCCAAAGGATAATTAAGGCCATGTATTGAGTACAGTTCAAAGTTTCTAATGTATAGTCATATATACCAGCTGATAAAGCTTGATTGAAATTTTACCTTGATTCAATCCTACCAAATAAACTGTAATTTTTTTTCAAGCTTTTTTGTCTTAATTAATGCAGCTCCAGTAATATAATTATATAAGTACAACTGGGAAATTTCCTTGCCTTCATCCAAGAAGGGCCAATATTATTTGATGCAAGAATTTGCCGTCCCTTCTATTTCCTCCTAAAAAGATATATCTAAAAACTATACATAGGTTCCAAAATGATTGACATTGATGCCTTATTTTCTTGTACATCTAATTTAGTGCATTCTAACAACGGTTTATCTAATATTCTAATATTTCAGGGAGTTTTAAGCACTTTGGGCTGCCAGCTCATACCTATACACCAATTTTACCTATTTCTGCCAAGTGACATTCTTGATATAGGTCAACAAATAATAAACATAATCATAAACATTTAATGTTATTATTTGATCTATAAGCTGCTCCAACTGAACCTGTGGAATGTCCAATTCAGGAGACATAAAATCAATAATCACCTGAGGCTGATGAGCATGATTAATGATGCAGCTGCCAAAAAAGTCAACACAGTCCTGATTTAAGAAACAACACTGATCCATGGTCTTTTGTTCCTGACTGATCTCTGGCTCTTGTGTGATAATTATGTGGATACTGCTTATGGAATTCTCACATCTGGATTGACTGACATCCCTGACCTGGCTACTGGAACCTTGGACTGAATTTTTACTATTCTTCTGTGTGCTCCTGTTAAAAACAAAACTAATTAGGCAAAGCTTCTTCCAGAGACTCTGTTTGGTTTGCGTTCCTTGCCTGATGCTTTTTCCTTGAGCTTGAAAAAAACTGGTAAATTCCATAACTGTTTGTATAAGTGTGTATTTGTAACCAAAAATAGGAAAGTGGAGGCCTGGATGAGGAGCAACAGGCTTCAACTGAACCATGGCAAGACTGAACAGCTCTGGATTCTGGGGCCATCCATTTGGAGAGTATGACATCTTTTACTCTGGCTGGGGTTGCACTACCCCAAATAGACCTGGTGCACAATCTGGGGATTCTCCTGGATTTGTGATTCCTGCTCAAAGAGCAGATGACAGTTGTGACTAGGTGTTCTTTCCACAGTTTCATACTGTGAGTCAGTTGTACCCATTCCTAGATCAGGAGGTTCTGCTTATCATCACTCATCCCTAGTCACCTCCTGATTGTTCTACTGTCACCTCTCGAATGGACAATTGCAATGTGCTCTACAAGGGACAGCCCTTTGAAGAACATTTGGAAGAACACTTTTCTGACATGGCATCTGACCTGTGGAACATTATTTTCTGTTAAGGCCCCATCCTTGACATCCTTCCAGAATTCCCTCAAAACATGCTTATGTCAACA